GCTGCATAGAATGTCCTGAAAATCCATCAGGGGCGGACAGACAGTGAGGAAGTATAAAACTTTCAAAGTAATGAGTCCTCACTGGATAGATATATATTTGTGGTGAGGGACCATAAGCAGAGTTACAGTAGTGGTGATAAAAGTCAGTTGTCATGTGCCGAAACCGACATTCAGGTAGGCCTGTAAAAAGAGGGCCCACCAAAATGCTTGATAAAGGGAGCGGTGGGTGGGCTGAACCAGGCAGTATTGGTCCTGAGGAAGGGGAGGCCTCTGTATTTTTTACAGGCCGGGTAACCCCTCCCACAACATCAGGTTAAGTCTTCCTATATATCAAACATTATGGCCTAAATGCACTTCTGGCAAACCATTACCACATTCCGGTTTACTATATTAAATTCCTAAACGTCTATTAATAGTTGCTGTACCTTTTACTTTTGGTTCTCACCAGAGGTCATTAATACCATAAAGCTGTTGCTGCATGCATACACTCACTAGCAGATATTCATCCATTAGAAAAAACAAATAAATAAGAAGAATACATGTAAGAGAATGGAAGTATTATTCATGGGTGGTTACCTCAAACTGGGAGTTAAAATGACCACAATAGAGATTTGCCGCTTCTGCAGACATCATTAAATAAAAAGAAGACCCTTGGAATAAATATTGTTACAAAATTTTTTTTTAATGCTTTATGTTTATTTTAATGCAGTAAAAATTAAAAAAATAAAGAAACAAGTAGTAATTCTATCCTGGAGTATCGATTCAATAATAAAAAAAAAAGAAGAAAGTCTAAGTTCACATTAGGATACATACAGAGTATTTTTTTATTTGGAAATGTCTTCTCCATTAATAAGAGCTGGCTGAATCAATAAGTATTTGTAAATAATTAATACATGTTTGTATGTAGTAAAACGAAGACACAAAATGAAGGAGTTGATTACTACCACTTAATCCTCTTTATGTTACGAAGTCAGTGTTGCAGAGGTAAATCATTTTGTTTCTATTTGGTGTAAGGATGGCTGCAGTAGATGGGGTGAATCTAATTATCAAGGCTGTTTAATCCTTTCAGCAGTTTGGCTTCATACAGATCTTTTCAGTTTCTTTAAGCGGCATTAAATATTTTCATTTTATTCAGAATAAAATATCTTACTATCCCAATCAATATAAGTTACACAATACACAAGTGAAACAGGTTATACGTGTTTAGTTTATTAGTATTGAAGTATGTCAATTATTACTGAATTGGTCTAATATCAAGCAATAATTAAAACAAAAGAAATGTGTGAGGGAAAGAACACTAGAATTTGCCAACGCGCATTATAAATAATGAATAAAGGGCAATATGTCTACAGAGCAAAAACAAATGTGTTATTTTTATGTTCTTTATGTGACTAAAACGTACATGCACAGAATTCAGATGCTCACCCAGTCTCCACTCCTTCAAAAAAATCGTTAAAAACCCACTTTTTCATAAAAGTGTATCAATTAAACTGTTAATCGCTCCTGACTGATTCCTCTTCTGTAACTGTCACTAATCTAATACTATCTTTACCTTTTGTGTCATTTTACCCCACTCCCTCTAGCATGTAAGCTCATTGAGCAGGGCCCTCAACCCCTCTGCTCCTGTGTGTCCAACTTGTCTGGTTACAACTACATGTCTGTTTGTCCACCTATTGTAAAGCGCTGCGGAATTTGATGGTGCTATATAAATATAATAATAATAATAATAATTCACATTAACTATTCTGAAACGTTTTCCCCTAATGATGATACACCACTGGTAGTAATGGGGTTAAAATCAATGCGTACAGCGTTCCAAGCTGAAATGCTGTACATACAGACTCCAAGCCCTATGAACTCTCCAAATGAGTGAAGTGGTCATGTAGGTATCCTTAAACCAAACATGCAACTTCTAGGCAATTCTTTGCCATTTAGGAGTTAAATCACTTTGTTTATTCAGCTCTAACTAACCTTCCGCTACCTGTGACTTACACAGCCTCCCTGTACACTTACTGTAAAGAAAGATCTAATTTTTAAACTTCCTTTAAATAATAAAAATGTTTATCTTCTGTGTTTGATTAATGTTTAGCTAAAAGGTCAGGAGATAAGAACTTCTAAAGTAAACAGACTCTACGGTTGCATCTGATTGAAAACAAAACCATTTTAATGGAGGGTGTGTGAGTCACAACCTTGGAATAGTGGTTAGAGCTGCACAAAAAGAAAAGTGATGTAATTCCTAATGGCAGAGAATTGACCAGTAAGGATGCCAGGGCACATTTGGCACTCTAGATATTGTGGACTACAACTCCCCTGATGCTTACCAACCACAAGGGCTATGAGAGAATTATGGGGGACGTAGTCCACAAGATCTGGAGTGACAAAGGTTGCCAACCACTGAGATATACACAAAAACTGCTTCATTAAGCTAAAGATGTTTGGTTGCTTAGATTATCCCTTTAATTTAAATCACTATTAAAAACATTGTATGACATTTTCAGGCAGTCTGTTCTTCATAGAATATGTTCACATACAGAGATTCAGGTGTTTGTGGTGGGTCAGTAAACTTCTAAAGCAGCTGCCTACACAGATGAAGTCATCTTTACATTGGCCCATGCGGCTTAATTCTGCCGCTTTTTTAAAGGGTACAGTTCTCCGCAATATCGGTTACAAGATTAATGTTACTAAATCTATGGCCTTGCCACTCTTACTCTCCAGATAGGTCACAGGTAACTACATTTAATCTTTTAAATTACAAATTGCCTTTTAGGCCTTTAGTATTTGGACTCACCGGCTGAAAGCTTCATAATAATAATAATAACTAGTATTTATATAGCGCCTTTCTCCCAGTGGGACTCAAAGCGCCTAACAGCAAAACCATTCTATCTTGGTGCATGGATCCTGTCCCTTTTTTTTTTTTGCAATGGAATCATTGTCATTTCATAGAAACGGCAATGCGTGTATTGTTGGAGAACAAGCTTCCAGTGGCTCTCAGACTCCTAATCACTACCTCAGAAGACCTTTGACTATCGAATGCATGTTCACTAGCATGATGGTGCTGATCACTTTGAGTAAACACATCTTCATGAGAATCATCAGATTGCTGGAGTGCTAAAAATCTCAGATTGCAGGAGTACAGAGATTGCTACATAAGTGGGACAAACTGCTCTTTTAAAAAGCATTGGATTGGACAGAAATCATTATAACGGACGAGCTCCAAAAAAATGGAACAGTTTCAGAAAATATCCTGTTCTGAACCTGAATTATAGCCAAGTTTAAGGGTCTTTTTTCTGTTTTCCTGATTTTAAAAAGGTCCACAATCTAAATCAATATTATCACTATTAAAAAAAACAAAATTACATGAGATAGATATTTATATATAGAGAGAGAGAGAGATAGTGTCTTCACATTTTCTAATATCTGCAAACTGATACTACGAGTTTTCATTGTCTCATTTTTGTACTTCCCAAATAAATTCATATCTACAAGCATTAAATGTAATTTTCATTTCTGTTACTGCTGGCAAAATGCTTTGTTTTCTTAAAGAGAATAGTCCTATCAATGTAACTGTTGCAGTTTTAGAATAAACATACTCTACAGTTTAGCTTCTAAAAGGAAGTTCCCAAAAAAAAAAAAAAAAATCTAAAACACCTAGTAACTAATATATTTAGTACACTGCAGATGTACATGTATGTATATCAGAATAATTATCTCTCCTTATTGTTCCATACTGCCTTCAAAGAAGAAAAGTAGAAGAAAAGTTATACATGGATGAGATTGATCAAATATCTCAAGCTTATAGCAGCACTGTTACTTTTCTTTGCTTTTTTATTATTATTATTATTATTATTTACATTTCTGAAATTCATCTACTAGGTTAGTACTAGGTTAGTTTCCTTTCTAAATACTCTGAGAAAGTATATTCAGAAAATATGGAGTAAATAAAATAGTTTGAAATAAGTAAAATTGTAAAAAAAATTTTTTTATCATTTCCAAAATCAGGAAGGATATGGATGTCTTGCTAGCAAATCTAGATCATATCTTCAGATCATAAAAGAAAATCAGTTTTTTGGGGGGGGTTTCAGATGTTTCCTTCATGGTTGTGATGGGCTATAGCACAAGTATTTCCTGTGTTTTACTAACTAAACTTTCAAAACCCAACAAATAAAATCCTATTTAATTTATATCTGGAACTCTGAAAACAACATTCGCTAGATATGTTTGAACAAAGAATACTAGGCACAAACGGAAAAGTATTCACAGAAAGTAGAATAAAAAAAAAATCCCGAAAATATACAAATGTCGCTGAAGACGGATTTCAGCTGTTTAGCTTTTAATCCACCTATTACAAGACATTCACATCAAGGATTAGAATTAAACCAATCTTAATCCATTTATAGAGTATTAGCCAAGATGATGAATTACTAGAAGATTTTATTCCCTCTTTTTCCCTCTTCAGATGTAGGTTTTTTTTTTTTTGTGCATATTGACATTACATATACGCTTGTCATGCCCCAAAAGCATTTGACGAGATTATACCATGCATTGAAACACATTTAGGACATTCAGATAATACGTGCACAGTTTTAAAGACTTAATAAGACCTGAGTTAACAATTGTTAGAGTGAAACTGAGTGTGTATTAGCTAGAGAAACAGTACATATTAAGCATTGGTATGGTGTTCGCTGATAGCACTTTTTTTAGTAGATTTAGATGAGGCTCAAGATGTGTAACAGGTTGTGCATCTTTCGTTAATTGTGCTAGAAATTCCAGGCTACACAATCTATACGACATCCAACATTCAACAATGTACTCTCAATTAAACAGTATAAGTCGGGCCCCAGTGAACTAGCCTTAACTTGCAGTACTATGTTATGTGGTAGGGGTAGTCAAAAATAGCTAGGCTTGTTAGTCAAGCGCCCTATATTAAGTGTGAGGTGGCAAACATGGACTGGGGCTTACTTATGTGTAGGCAAAATGATAAAATGATAAACTAATAAAACTTATGCATTGCTGTAATCTCCCCTGGGGTCCCCCAGGTTCGAGTCCTTCTCTGGACAGGTCGGCAGGTCGTTGATCATGGTTCCGGTATCATGTTGTGGTGTAAGTCTCCCGGTCATGGAACCAGATGTGCATAGCGCTTTTGGCAGTTCATCCAATGCCTCGTTGGGGCCTTGCAGGGACTTGCCATGGATGCCTGTGCGATCGTGTTTCAGTACGGTGGGTCTGCGGGCGTGGTAGGAGTCGTTGGGGTAGGTCGTGTGGCTGGAGTGGGGCTACCCCTAGGTTGGAGAGTGCCCCAGGCATCACAGAGCTTGGTGTCGGCAGCATTCTCCATTTCGCCGCTTTGTGAGAGGAAGATGCCTGTCTGTCGTTTTCGAGCTTGTCTCTTCGGCTCCATGCGTCGGCTTGAGCTGGCTGATCATGTATGGGGCAGGCGAGATAGTCCACACCTTTGAGAAATCCATATCCGGCTATCACCTGTCTCCTCCGTCTTCTATCTGCCCTCATTGCTGCAGATGAGTGAGATTTTGGTGTATCCGGGATGCCCCGGTTCTCTCGAGTGCTTGGATCGTGTGCAGTTTTGAGGTGCTATGGGTGTACTCGTCGTCATTTTGGGGCGTTCCGTATGGCCGGAGCCGCAGTCTGCTGTAGCAGAATTGGAGCCCGTCTGGGCGGTGAGCCTTGTGTCAGCTGCCGTGGGGCCTTTTGCTTCTTTGCTCTAGTTTCATCCAGAAGTTTTGGAATATGATGTCCAACCTTGTTTTGAGGTCAGGCTGTTCTTCGGGTAAGTCAGGGAGCAGAGTGGCATCCGCCATTTTTTGTTCCACACTCCAGTCTCCAACTGCCTGTACCTTCACCTTGAGTACCTGTAAGGGCAGGGGAGCCTTCCTGGGTGGACCGGGATCACACCCGCCGGCCCGGGGGTGGGGGAGGTAACGGGGCGCACGCACGGTGTGGTATGCTGCAGGCTCACTCCAGGCTGGGAAATCGGCCGCCACTCCCGCCCGCTGCATTTCAGGCTGTGTGCTCCGAGCTGTGCCTTAAACTTGCCCCCAGTACCTGCTGGATATGTCCGCTAGTGCAAACTATATGAAGGTCGCTGGATTCGATGTATATCGATTTGTGTGAGGCTGTAAATTGCTTAAATTGCCAGTGTAGGAGAGGAGCTCAAAACACGTCTCTCCACCATGGTAGTCAGGCCCCGCCCCCCTGATGTAGGTTTTAAATATTTTTAATTACATAAAACAAATACACAGGTTTATAAAAATATGTAATTTTTTTGTCAAAGGAAAGCTCAAACATTTTTTTCATTCCCCACCAAAGAACCAAATCTATAATACATCCCCGTCAATTAAACAAACTGACAGCAGGAATTATAATGGGTAAATATAACAATGTGTTGAAATAAATACAATTTTACAGCTGATTCAACAGTGTGCATAAAATGCATAGCTCCTCTACACAGCTTAACCCCTTAAGGACACATGACATGTGTGACATGCCATGATTCCCTTTTATTCCAGAAGTTTGGTCCTTAAGGGGTTAAAGGAATATTATAGGGTCAGGGACAGAAACATGTATTCATGACCCTTTTAGTGTTAAAATCACCATCTAGCCCCCTGGCCCTAAATATAGTAAAATCTTACTTTTATTCCAGTCTGCTGCTGGCTTTGCCCCTAATTTGCCTCCTTGGCTGACATCATCAGAAGTGTAGATCTGAGCCAATCACAATGCTTTCACATAGGGTAGGCATTGGATTAGCTGAGAGTGTCCATGAGGCAGATTAGGGGCAGAGCCAGCACAAGCCAAACACAGTTCTGACCAACCAGCATCTCCTCATAGAGATGCATTGAATCAATGCATCTCTATGAAGGAGGTTCAGGGTCCCCATGCAGAGTAAACAGTGTTTTCTGCAAAAAGCCTGATTAGACTCACCAGAACACGTACATTGAGCTTTAGTTATTCTGGTGACTGTAGTGTCCCTTTAAGCGTAAAACAAGTTATCTTATGCGTTATTTTACGTTTGTATAACAACCAAGAGCAGCCTAACTTTTATTTAGCATTTTGATGTGGCATACTTCAGATGTAACAAAATGGTCTACACCTATCCAGAGCAACTAGCAACAAGAGAAATGCCCTGTATTACTTCAACGAATTTATTACATAGGCCAGAGTTTCTAGCCAGAGAAAAATTTCAATATTAGCTTTTATCTTCAAGGGTACCTTTAAAGAGCATAACATTGTATTTATTCATTATGCAAGCAGACTGCTGGCACAGGTGTCAGGTAAAGCAGACAAGTCTTCCTACAAGCAGTCCTTATACTCTCCAAGCATAGCAATCACTGTGCATGCGCTAAGGTGTGCCCGTGAATGCAATGATGTGTATGTGAAGTGTAAGAGTGTTTATAAATGCAGGAGTATATTTGTGGAGTGTCCATGGGGGAATGCCGGGGTATACATGTGTGGAGTGTCTGTTGGTAAATGAATGAATGAATGAATGAATGAATGAATGAATGAATGAATGTATGTATGTATGTATGTATGTATGTATGTATGTATGTATGTATGTAGAGAGAGAGAGAGAGAGAGAGAGAGAGAGAGAGAGAGAGAGAGAGAGAGAGAGTGTATACACAGCAGTATTTGTGTGTGCCTGTGGGTGAATGTAGAAGTGTAGATGTAACTGATCCCCCTTCACAAATCACCTATCTATACAAATCCCCTCTCCTTACTTTTTCGTTATAGCTCTCACAAGTTGGTTTTCCTACTTAGATGCCATTAGGCCAATATTTAAGGATGATTGCTCAGTTCAGTTTTGGGTTTTGCTTTATTGGTTGTTTTTTTTTTTAATTTTTTAATTATTATTATTTCAGCTACTTGAGTTACTTTTGGATTTCCCCACTACCCCATGTTTTTATTGAAAATTATTCATAAAGAAATACACGCACACATAAGGCAGTAAAATAGGTGCCTGTCTTGTACCAAAATAACAAATAGCACAGGTTTGGCATAAATCGCAAACAGAGCATTTATCACAATATTGCAAAGTGACACATCTCATGCAAAATGTTCAAGAAAACTTGACAGTTTAAATGTAACAGATACACATACCACTTAAATTTTGGAATTTTTAAATATTAGCCGCTATTATTATTTTCTTTTTTTATTGTACTTTCAGGAAGATTTTTTACCTTCTTACGTCCTGAGCAGAAAGCTGAATTAAACGTGGACAAAAGTGAAGTTTACTAAATTAATTTAGTTGGCTTACCATACTGCTGAAAAACTGCAATGGAAAGTAAAAATGTACATGTATATTTTTTTCCCACAACAATCTTTGGTATATATATGCAAATGCTCTCCTTCCTTGTAGTCTAGTGAAGAGCTTGGTTACTAAAAGTAAGACTTGGTATGCTTAAAGAACTCATTGAAATCCTAATCCCTATTCACATAAAAACGTTATCAAGTATTCAACACGCATTATACTTTCTGTACACGGAGCAACTTGCATCAAGGTTTCAAGTGTATTTCCCAGGACTTTAGTATCTGTGCAAAGCACATTTCAATTTGCCATTTAGATTTTAGTTTAAAAAATATAGAATCATAATCAGCTGAAAACACTCCATAGGGCACCTGAAAATAGATGAATTTCAAGTTTTAATGCAAAAGTCATTTAATGTCAAGTAGAAATGCACATTCAAATGTTAGTCTGGTTGCTTCCTTAGATGTGTATACAGTGTGTATTTGTGTGTATGTGCCAGTGTGTATATCTGCGTGTATGTATCAGAATGTTTCAGTGCATGTATCTGTGTGTTAAGCTGTGTATATGCCAGTGTATATCAGTGAGTGTATCTGTGTGTCAAGGTGTTTGCATGTGTCTATGTGTTAATTTACTTAAATGTTACAGCAGAAAAGAACCGTTTGGCCCATCTAGTCTGCCCAATTTTATAAAATACGAATATAATGCATTTACAACATATATGGATGATATATATGTATATAGTAACCCTGCTAGGGATGGGGCAGATGCCTTGTTCTTATTATCCAACTCTGGTATGACATGTCACAAGAGACCTGTGCTTATTCCACTCCAAAGTAAATGCGGTATGACCCCCATGATGTTGACATGACCCCGATGAGTGGTTATATGGTGTGTGTGTGACTGTGTGCGGGAGCCTGCGCTGGCAGAGGGTGGGGTGGGGAGGGGGAGAGGGGGGTGGTGCAGCCACTTCCCTGAAATTAGTTTTTGCATTTTGGGATTTAGTACACCATGGTGAGTAGGAACAGGAAATTGTTCAACCATGACTTCCTGTTTGCACAGGGATATAAATATGAGGTAACTCACTGGCCAAATTCCGTTAGTCATTTGTTACAATGGGTAAAACCAATGAGAATTGCAGGAGTTCATTGGGGTCAGAAAGTCTCCAAAACTACAATCTGACATCACCTACATCACCACAAGTTGTTTGGAATGGTTTTAAGAAAAAAAAAAAAGTCTACTCTCATTAAAAACCAAGCTCAAGCATCTTTAGTTTGCCAGACAACTGTGGAACTTCAAATGGGGTTGGGGTCTATTGTCAGGTGAAACTAAAATAGAGCTTTCTTGGCAATAAACAACAGAGGTTGGTTTGGGGCACACAGAGAAGTAGTCATGTGGAAAAGTGTCTCATTCAGATGGTTAAATATGGTGGTGGTTTTTTAATGTTTTAAGGCTCTTTTTCTGCTGGACGACCTGAACATTTTGTTAGGATACATGGAATCATGGACACATCAAAGTAAACCTGTGGGGTGAACAGAAGAGGAGGAGAGTCCGCGATCCTCAACCTCAAAATTCCAAGGATCTGCAGAGATTCTGTATGGAAAAATGGTCTCAGTGTGTTATCAGGCATTATAAGAGAAGACAGAGCTGTTATCTTGAGGTTGCACAAAGTATTGAATAAAAGGGTACAAATAATTGTGAACACACACGCACACAATTTATAAAAAGATTTGTTTAATTTCGTTTTTATAAACATGTGTTGTGTTTGCTATCCATGAGAGCAGAGTATGGTTGTGTATTTTATGAACAAAAGATCAAAAGGTTAACCCCTTAAGGACTGAGCCAAATGTACACATTGTGATCAAAACAAAACGTAAACAAAACCTGGAATTTGACTATATGTCTGTTCAGGCGCAATTCACCTCTTTCATATTATGTGCACCCAAACGTATTATATACAATTTTATTCAGGGTTTTCATTTAAAATCAAATATTTAGGTATGAAACAATTTAATATAAATAAAATGGGAGAAAATAAGAATTAAAATTTTTTTTTTTTTGTTCTACGTGACATTTTAACTATGAATGTCATAATACTGTTTGCTTTTACATATTTGTATTCAGCGATGTCGTATGTGTAAAACAGTACTGTCACGTGCGTGGGCTATAGGCCCAGCCGAGACAGTGGGGAGAGTGTGGAAGTGACAGGGTTAATGACACCAGACCCCTGGTTACCTGTTGCTAGTCCCAGCAA